TACAAATGTTACCGGAGTTCTAACTAACTTTTTACTGAGGAATAAATCTGAGCTTTAACACCTGTTGGATTCGATTGTGCGTGCCTCCGTAACAGCAGGCAGAGGCACTCTCAGTGCTGCAGGGTGGGTCTGTGTGGTGGCACTCCCACCTGCCTAAACCCCGGATGGCCCAGACAGTCCTGTCGATGATCCCTGAAAATACAGAAAACTGCATTTTTAGTCTAAGAGAGGTAAAGGCCAGGAATGTGGAGAAGGGGAGAGAAGAAATACCATGCAGCTGTCTCATCCCAGCACAGCATGGTATGATTTCCGTAGCTGTACCTCAAGGCAGCACCTGTGTCACCCAGTGGAGTTATGGTCAGTTCTTGCTGATGCTCAGGCTTAATGAAGGAAAGGCACTGCACCTCTAGCAGCATGTGGCTTAAGGCAGCACAGGAACCTGAAAACAAACTGTCCTTCTCTGAAAACCAGTACCAAAAGCAGCGTGTCTCATCAGGGCTCTGGGCCTGTGGGATGCTGGGGTAGGGAAAGATGAGGGGGGACAGCAGGAGCCCAGCAGAAGCAGCAGCAAGCTTGCAGCCAGCTGTTTGCAGCAGGGAAGCTGCAATTATGCAAAGCAACACCTAAGCCAGCGTGTGGTCTGTTAGAGGGAGCAGACATTTGCCAGGGAGCACCCAGTGCATATAAAGGATGAGAACCAGGAAAAGGATGTGTGTCTCCTGGGACAAGGGTGGCTCAGCAGGTATGTATGCCTTGGCTTTGCTTCAGCAAGAGCTGTGGTACAAAACTATGGAAGTGGCTGAAGTGGTGTTGCTGAGAAAGGGTTGGAAACAGAGGTGAGGTTTTGTACCTGGAAAACTACTTCAGAGCTAAATCAGAGCATGCCGGGTGCTGCTGACAGGCATCTTGACAGAAGTGTGCAGCAGAGGTAAAGGACAGCAGCTTTTTCACTGTATTGTTCGTTTGTGCACATGTAGATGTGCCTATACACAACAAAATTCTGCTTTATGACCTTGGTTATCGGTGAAATGTGGCTGCATGCACCTCAAGATCCATTTTGTTCCTGTCAGCCGTTCCAACACCGCTGGTGGTGCCATGGAGCTGTAGATTTCGGGGCACTCAAGGTCATGTTTGTGGTGTGCAGGTCCCAGGCCACCTCTCAGGAGATCAGAGTGTGGTGGAGGCTTCTCCAGGCTACTGCCTGCTCTGCACCGCCGCCTCCATCTGCACAGGGACGTGGTGCACTTGTACTTGGGGAGGGGAAGGGAAAGTCCATGGTCAGCCCTACCTGCAAAGGGCACAGTGTGCATGTGGTGGTGAGCACCACTCGGCTGCATTTTCACCGTGCACTGCTCTTAATGTTGTTATCTGGTGGTGGGGGAGCGCCTCCTTTGGCATGGGATGCTGGTGGGGTCCTGCTCCTAAACCTTCTCCTGCTGCTGCTCCTGCGCACGCTTCTCCCTGTGGTCCCTGTATTCCTGCCTGCTGCTGGGCATCCCTGTCCCTGCATGGGACCCCCATACTGTCCCTGCCTGGCATCCCCACTGCACGGCCTGTCCCCTCCTGGCTCCTGCTTCTTCTTAAATCCTCCTGTGCCAAGGCTCTCTGCAGGGGCTGCCGTTTTGGCCTGCCGTGAGGTGTTAGCTCTGCTGCAGAGGTAGTGGGAATTACCTGGGGCCTCGTGTGTGAATGAGCAGGGACAGCCAGCTGGGGCAGAGGTGGAAGGTGTCCAGCAAGGGACAATGGGCACCATGGCCCCTGCTGCACCCATGGGTGGTGGGGTTGCCTGCACTTACTCCAAAAGTCCTTGCCAACAGCTGCGTGATTTGCCCCAGAGAGGGCACAGCAGCATTTTTACTGCTCAACAGCCCTGTTCAGTAGCAGCAGGAAAACACCCTTGTCTTAACCCTTGGCGAGGGCTGGTGACTGACTGAAGCAATCCCACCAGCAGTCAGTTTGCCCTTCAAGGCCACTTGTCACCTAATGGGAGCAGATACCGGTGTCTCAGATAGGGTCAGCCCAGCCACAATTCCGCTGCCTGCAGAAAACTGCAAAAAGTCATGAGCAAATCATGTGGAGACTTTTTACAAGCTTTCTTCCCTCTTACAACATAATTCAACATCCCTTTTCCTCTCTGTGTACTACCAGGGGACAAGGGTCAGCCATACAGCAAGAGGCTGTGTCTGACACCAGAGATGTGTCTGGGCCAATCTGTAAATGACGGGGAGCTGCAGGAGCTGCAGGCAGAGCCATTGACCCCTTTGCCACCTCTTGACAGTAGTCAATACAAATGCAATGCCACAGCCTGTATCTCTCTGGTGTTGGCCGTGGGTAATGCACTAGATGATAGCATCATCTGGGTGCTGGACATAGTAATATATTTATTCCACCATATTCCTTGTGTTCAATACTTAAATTCTGTGTAAATGTGTAATTCTGATGTGAAAGCAATCCCAATTACTTTAGAGTGTTTTAACAGAATTTATAGGGATTAATGCCATCGGCCCTTGCTTCAAAACATATATGCTTCGCCTGTTTTTCTCTTCGCTCCTCCCAGCATCCTGAAAGCCAGGCACTCCCTTGTCACATAAGGCCAGGGAGGGGAGGGCTGCTCAGCAGGCATCACCACCCCCCAGCCGTCACCCAGTCAGGCAGTGATGCTGCCTGCGCAGGCGAGGCAAACGTGTCAAAGCTGGGCAGGGGCAGGCAGGACCCGAACTGTTGGAAGGTGCTCTGTTAAACAGCCGTAACGCCCGTTGCGGAAATGCCCATGAGCTGTGTGGGAATGTGGTGGCTGGTGAGGACCTCCCCGGGGAGCTGCCCTGGGACCCCTCCTGGGCAAAGGAGCAGCAGCCCACAGTTATGAGGTCAAAGCTCAGGCTGCTTTCGCACCGATTTCTTTGCTGAGGATGTGTGGCTGTGCGTTGGGAGTGGGAGAAAGCCCTTGCAGCTGTAAGAG